AACTTCTGTCCTCCAGGGTGCGTCATAAAGCTGACAGGTTGATCAGATCTATTTTGTTCACTCCCTGGCTGTGTTTTTACAAAATGGATAACAACTAACACTAGCGTTTAATAACGTACAATTTAGATCCGTGCTTTTTCTGTGTTTATCCTCTGTTCTCTTGTAGAACTAGCCGGAAATTTCTCATTTATAAACTTTCGTGTGTTTTTTAATAAGTACCAAGTTCCTTTGGCTTCTCATAACCTTTCCTATTTGTGGATGGTAATTAAGTCGCAAACATTTTCTTGTTGAAGCACTGTAAAGGTTTTATTGTTCAAAGACAAGAAAATCCGTTGACATAGAAAACAAAAGTAAAAAAATAAGAACTTTTGAACGATTTTATGTACAAAAAAAGTTTAGGAAATCCGAATATCATTAGCTACAGGTCAGAAAAGAATGAGGCAGTCACGTGATAACTCATTTATTTACTTCAGTACTTTGGTTTCAGCACAGATGGTGAAACATTTCCAGTATGGGAATGTGTTTTATGAAGAGAAAAAGCGCGCGAGAGAACCGCCCTCTACGTAATATTTTAACACGTGGACATACTTCAACACGAACTTTAAAAATATTCCTTAGGAAGTATTATATTATAGTCAAAATTATTTTTTAATACCTGTCAATAAATATCCGAATGGGAGGGGGCTTAAATCCTAAACTATAGTTCTACAGTCCCTACATAAATGCAGAAATTACCTTGTAAAATATATATATGAGTATTTGTAATTCCTCAGTGCAAGCTATAATGTCCAAGCTATTATCATTCATATCATCAAAACGTGGTAATTCTAAAATTAAACACATATCTATAGGTTAAACACATAATTCCACTTTTCACCAATGCCAATTATAAATCTAACGTACTTATAATTTAATCAAAATGTCTACATTAGGTAGTACAGAAGAAAGAGATCACAAGTTAGTTTCTGCGCATTTCATTTTATACTGTGTTATTCATCGTTGTCAGGCGAGTACGTTTGCAAACAAGGACAGGAAGCGCAGACACTTGAAGATGATGTGCGTTTGTGTGAGTAAAAGAAGTTAAGTGTTGGTTGTAAGGTAGACTACGCATCACGTTTTATTTATTTATTAAAACACTCTAATTCAGCATAAAAGTAAACAATCTGAATTGAACATATATTTTTCAAAATGTACAAACAAAATACAACCCTTATATAAATTAAATACATCAAAAATAAGTTAGTTTAAGCTTACTAAATATAATTTTCCTTCTTTTTTTTTCAGTCCCTTATCATTTTTCTTCTGATTAAAATTTGACATTAGTTATGTTTACTCCTGTTATTATAGAAAAGCAGTTTATTTCCATCACCTTTGACATTTTAATAAAAATTAGATTCTGACATGCAAATAAAAGCGGCGGAAATTGACTAAGCAATGCCCCCGTACAATAGTTTTATCTGCTGAGCAAACGTTATTCGAACATAAACATATTTCACCCCAGGACTTTTATAAACATTTTATTGTTTAATCTTGAGGAAACTCGTTAAGAAAATAATATATTTGCTAATGCTAAAACTAAAACACAGGAGTAATCAAACAATGAAGTTTGAGGTTCAACAGATCTTTAAGGACATGAGTTAATTGTATATAAGAAACAATCACATTTATTGCCTTCTTGAGATTTTACGGATTTTAGACGTTTTAGCAAAAACCCTTTCACGTGCATAACAAAACGTCTTATTTGTAATAACTTTGAGTTTTAAAATAAAGAAAAAACGTATGCAGATAACATTTTAACCTAAAAAATATTACTAACATATTCGGCTGATTGAAGTCGCAGAAATTGTCTGTTACCGGATAAACGTTTTAAATGTGTACTCTCTATTATATTTGCTACATACATATACTACTAATATAAATCTCGACCTGTTGATTTTTACCTTTATATCCTTTCCATTGCCATACACTAAGACTAACAAATGTAGAAAATGTTTTCTACGCATGTCAAAAATAACTTACGTCAGAGACCGAATCGAAGCAAGTTTCATGGAGAAGTTTGATCTTTACTAACTCCTTGTCATCTTGCGAGTTGTATACGCTGTTCTTAGTGAGGCACTAGTAGTGGACTGACTCGTTTATAGAAACATTCCATTAACATTCCAAGTTTTGTACGAATAAAAGTGAAGACTAATATTATTCTAATAAAATGTTTTGAACTAATTATAAGATCATAAACGATCTAATTAGTTATCAATATTTGATAAAAAATGTTTGGTTGTTGCTGAGCACAAAGTTGCACTGTAGATTATCTGTTGTTTACCCGCCGCAAAGATCGAACCCTGAAGTTTAGCGTTACAAGTGCTCAAGCTCACTGCTGACATACTTAATGACAAATAAGAAAAAAAAACGTTTTTATACGCTATTATGATAGTAATAGTAAACAAAAATTACACGCACTGCAATACAAACAACTTAAATTAATTTAGTCATACTTTATTTTTTTTCGCCATTTTAACAAGACAGAAATTACGACAACCAATAAAAAGTTAATTTATTTTATACAATCACAGGTTTGTATTTACTATTATGAGAACTGCATTATTTCAGTCATTCCTAACTTATAGTAATTAATCGAACAGTCTATATCAGAAAGCTTTGATTAGCAAACACCTACTGTTTGTTTAAGGGGAAGATTGTACTTGTTGACAATAAAAAAGTCAAGCTATAATAATCCGGCCATACCCGATTACAAAAAAAAAAGAGTGGATTAGATTGTAGGCTCCTCAATTGATAATATGTCATACATCTTCGTTAAATTCATTGTTCCAATGGTGTACATTAGAAGCGACTTCAGATAAATGGCCCAAGTATCTAATGTTGTTAAAATTCCAAAATCGAGCCAATGGGAGACCAAGTGAAGATAGGAAGCAGTAGTGAGGGTTACGTCATAAAACGAGTTATATACTCAAGAAATCTAAGAACTTGTTTAAACGTCATTTCGCTGCGTAAAGAACCTTTTTTTTATTTTGGTTGTATAATTAAATCTAAAAATTTACGAAATTTAATGTAATTGTAGAGAAATTTAAAAGTCTAAAGCTGTGTGGAAATTTATGAAAATATATTGTTCTTGGGCAGAAATTTTTTGCAAGAGTAACAAACTCCTTTGCATATCTATTTTCTAATTGCGGAAAAAACTATTGTTAAAGCATTGATTTTGAAATGGGTTTTTATCTTTATTTTTAATCTTTTTATTGTATGTACTATCGTTTTATATCATTTTTAGTATTCTTTCATGAAGGTCAGTAAATGATCAACAGTAGCTTAATTACGAAAATAAAAAAATTATATTATAATAAGACAGGGATGTATCTCTACACTAAACCAGTAGATTAACATGTCGTTTTCATGAAAGCCAGTTACTTATTAAAAATATTCTCAAGTGGGCTAAACGGCCAAATCTGAGACCCCTAGAATTCAGACATAGCAGTCTTCAATTTTAAACTCTTGATCAGAGTGAAAGCAGCTAGCCGGCAGTACCTGCCACCATTAGGGCTTTTACCGGCTTTCTCTACTAAATGATAAGATTATCTGTCGTTCTTATACCACGCCCAGAGCTAAAAAGTGCGGAGCCTCTTAAGCGGCATTGTGTCTCGAACCCTGAACCCTTCAATTTGCAGCCCGACAAGCCAACTTTAGGGCTACATCTGGCCTGAGTTAGTTGCTAACGTTTTAGTTTTGAATATCAGTTATTTTGAAAAGTTGGAAATACTGTGGATTTTTAAAAGGAACGTTCGCAGTCTTTCAGATACTACTACTCTTGTTAAGAGGCGACGTTGCCTTGAAACTCTGTTTTAGAAAAAGGAAATAAAACAGTACAGCACAAAGATAGAAAGAAATGGATACTAACTTTGAGATGTATCGTAGGTGTTCATGTACTCTGAAGACATAAACTGTGAAACAATGGATCTTTTTCCAACTCCTGTGGCTCCAAGCATTAGAACCTTGAGGTGGGTACATCGAGTTCCTGGTCCGGAGGAGCATGACGTGGCGGTGGAAGGACACGATGGGTAAGTGTAACTCGAGGCCGTACTGTTGCTACTTCGGGACCGCTGACGGACCCTGTCACCTCGGTTGATCACCCCTCCCTTTGGTGTGATACTGAAGCTACGGATCCTGTAGAAAGTATCGTATTCGCTCTCCGTGTGATCCAGAGGTGATGAGTTAGGACTAGCACTCCGTTCTCGTAACCGTTGTCTCCTTTTCTCCCGGAGATAGCTCATGCTGTCAGAGGGCATGGTAGCTCCTCGCGGTCGGAACTGCTCCTCCTCCGCCAATTGTTGGGGTGTTGGACGCCGCATGTTTCGAAAAGAATAAGAACGCCCATGACTAGAAGTGAACGTTTTACTTTGAAGCCACAACTTAGGGCTGCGTGGTTCATTCATGGCAGCGAATTCTGGTCGCTGGCCCAAAGTGTCCGGTGAGATTTGGCTACAAGAAGTCAAGATGTTATCTCTATGATCAGTTATTCTGAGGGTAGGATGATCGTTGCTTCGGAGGTATGGAAGAGGCGAAGGGGATCTGTGAAGGAAATTCTCCACTGGACCTGGTAACCCTTTCCTTATTTGTAGCAGTGATGAGGAAGCGCCCAGGGAATTTGTGGGAATAGAAGCTGATCGGTTTCTTCTTTGGGATTGTGGACTAGTTTTTTTTGGCATTGTCTTAATGTCAGACATTGATTTAGACGTCTTGCTGGTACGGCTATCAGAACCAAACTTCTACAAATGAATGAGATGAGTAATATAAAGAAAAGTTCGAGCTTATGTTTGATTATATACTATATTCCAAAAACGACTAAGTTTCAATTAAAATTATATGAAAGATACAAATTAAAATTTGAGCAGCTCATCTAGTGATCTTTTGTGGGTTTCGGAGAACGAGAAACAAATTATATTTTTTTGGAAGTTAAAAAGCGATTTAATCACGAAACAAACTTATTCTTCAAAGGTAAAAGTTTAAGAAAAAAAGAACATAAAATAAATATTTTACGAAAATAGAAAATAAAAAAGTATTTACTTATTAGTTCTTCTCCTTTTCTAACTGCTATGTTTATAATTGGTAAGCCTATGCTTTCTTCACATGCGTCTTGCTCGTTGACCAAAAAAAAAACGTTTCAACCTTTAATATTCAATGGGAGTGCATCACACTGAATATCACGTACTGGTCAAACTTCGAAGCTTTAACGATAACGAAAGCCTTGATGACTATTTTACCCAGAAACTTTGCTATGGTGTATGGTGTAAACTGGTGCAACACGGCCTAATCAAAGCAAATGCATTAAGTGTTCAGGAACACTTACTCAATTGATTACAAATTTTGAGGCCTGTCCAATGTGAGCTATCTTCTCCAAAAGAAACACAGAAACAACGAGAACCTAAGCATTGACGCTGGTTTTATGAAACGGCTGGTTTAGCGTTTTACTTCGCATGTCACGCAAGATAATGGGCTTATCTATATTGGTATAGGGGTAGAAACGAGGATAGTCGGATGGGAATGGTATTTCCTGACGGAATGGATGCTATGATATGACAAAACTTAATGCTAGTAAAACATGAATAAACGGTATTTAGTTTAACTTTATAGGAAGAAGTAACGTAGCATTTATATTAGTCCTAAGCCTACGTTCCAAACCTTTTTTATTATCTTAAAGGGGGGAAAAACATATTTTTGTTAACTATTTCAGCATTTATGCTGGGTAAATGAAATTCTGTAAGTCATTTTGAATGTATTGTCCATATATAGTTGTGGTGAATCCCATTGTACTTCAGTATGGCTAATTAAACGCTAAATCATAAAAAGTTTTCGAGCTAGTTCTGTGAAAGATCTTAGGAAGTTGTTGAGATAGTTTTATGTTTTGAAGCTGGAAAGGTAGTTTTATATGACATTCTACGTTGTTTCTTTATAGTTTTGTGGTAATTGTAGTTACTGGTACATGTTAATACCCTTAGAAATTAATATATAAAATAATTACAATATTGCTCGATTTTGATTGTCACACATTGCCACTTATAGGAATAGTAAACAAACTGGCGAGGCACTGACTGGACGTAAAGAAGAAGAGAGAAAAGGGTCTCAGTTTATTGAAATGTCGAGAGAGTGAGGGGAAGAGTATTATTTGCTCATATTATTAATGAAATATTAATTTTACAAATCCGTTCTAATTAGATATTCAGACTTGTGGTTCAGATTTCTTATTGAAAGAATACGTGGACAACAATGATAAAAATACTACGAGATCCAAACCATTCTGGAGATGAAGAGACATGTGTTGTGGTGTTTTCTTCCGCCTTAATGTGCCAACTCGATGTGATTTAGCAAGAACACGAAAAATATATGTACAAAAGATAAAAAAATTAGAAAAATGATCAAGGAATTCATAATCTCAAACCGAATTTGGTTACGTCTATTTTCTTATATTTATATAAGGTATTTCTAATATGGCATTAATTAAGGAAAGATACAAAACATAAATGTACCTTTTTTTTTCTCTAGGGAGTCATCATTTGTTCAAAGATTCCTGCCGCTGTGAAAAGCGTTAATTGGTGATAACTTTAGTGAAAACGTAACACGTTTGTAAAAGATGCTCGCACAAGTATAAGACAATAACATATTTTTCAATAAACATGTTGTAAACACTTTAAACAACATAACGCTACAACTAGCCGAAAAAAAGGATGACTTCAATAACTACGTGAATCTTCATTATAAAATTACAACAATGTGAAATGTTACTTTATAGGATTTTTGCGCAGTGCCAGTTTCAAATTTATATAATAGTACTAGAAATAAATAGTTTCGGTTTATTTTTAGTGAACGCTCTTGAAGAAGCTGTAAAGCGAAAAGTTGAGTGTCTAATTAAATACCCCAATATGCACTACAGAAATTAAATAATGAGAAATCAAATTTTACATGATTTGCAGAAGATTTTAAAATGTTACAAAAGTCTAAAGGTGTTAAACGTTTAGGAATTATATTTTTGTCAAAAGTATCTATAAGCAAATGTAGTGCAATGTATTCAACAATTATAATTATTAAATTACGATGGAAAACATTTCAATGAAATTACAGTTATAACTTTTCAAATAAAAACTCAAATAAAGGGGAAGCAAGCACCAATAGTACTGCTAGAATATAACTTAAATTGTTCACTCTACGTACAAAGATGAAGAATTTTAGTTGTCTCCTAACGCGGCACTTGGTAAGCAACCAAACAACAATTGGTTGTAACCAAGGTAACAGTAACGGGTTCGTGTGGCACTGTATGAAAGTTAATTAAATTATTCGTAGAAATACAGAATAGTAAGAATAACAAATAGTTAACACCCCAGCTCTCTAGTTTCTCTTTTTTTACATCTATTATTAATAATATTAGTCTTTGCTTTAATTACTCTTGTAAATAATCTTTCTATTTCAGGCCTATTTAAAGTGCATAGCTGCTCACTATAGTATACATTTAATATAATATATATAAAGCAAGGTATCAATCGAAACAAGTACAGCATGAAATACAATGTACATTGAAGTTCATTATCCTTAGATTTTATTGCTATGAAAAAGACGGAACAAAGAATAACGAAAGTTTATAACCGTGTCCTTATACCCATTGAGAAGCTAAGTATTATCATAATTCTCTCTTGCTAATTCTCAAGAAACAAAGCTAAGTAATATCATAATTCTCTCTTGCTACTTCTTAAGAAACAAAGCTAAGTAATATCATAATTATCTCTTGCTACTTCTTAAGAAACAAAGCTAAGTAATATCATAATTATCTCTTGCTACTTCTTAAGAAACAAAGCAAAACAATATTATAATTGTCTCTTCTATTCATTACGAAACAAAGCAAAATAATATCATATTCCTGTCTTTTTACTCATTAAGAAACATAGCAAAACAATATTATAATTTTTCTTTCCACTCATTAAGCAACAAAACACAATAATATCATAATTATATCTTTCTATTTATTAAGAAATATAAGAAAACAAAATCACAATCCACAATTTCTACTCATTAAGAAACAAAGCTAAACAATATCATTATCCTCTCTTTCTACTCATTAAAAATAAAGATACACAATATCGTAATATTCTCTTCCCACTCATTACGAAACAAAGCTAAACAATATCACCATTTGCTCTTTCCATTCATTAAGGAACACGGTAAAATAATAATATTAAAATCCTGTCTTTCTACTCACTACGAAACAAAGCTAAACAATATCACCATTTGCTCTTTCCATTCATTAAGAAACACGGCAAAACAATATCATATTCCTGTCTTTCTACTCATTAAGAAACAAAAATACACAATATCGTAATGTTCTTTTCCCACTCATTACGAAACAAAGTTAAACAATATCACCATTTGCTCTTTCCATTCATTAAGGAACACGGTAAAATAATATTAAAATCCTGTCTTTCTACTCATTAAGAAACAAAGCTAAACAATATCACCATTTGCTCTTTCCATTCATTAAGAAACACGGCAAAACAATATCATATTCCTGTCTTTCTACTCATTAAGAAACAAAGCTAAACAATATCACCATTTGCTCTTTCCATTCATTAAGAAACACGGCAAAACAATATCATATTCCTGTCTTTCTACTCATTAAGAAACAAAAATACACAATATCGTAATGTTCTTTTCCCACTCATTACGAAACAAAGTTAAACAATATCACCATTTGCTCTTTCCATTCATTAAGAAACAAAGCTAAACAATATCAAAATCCTGATTTTCTACTCATTAAGAAAGAAAGCTAATCAATATCAAAATCTTGTCTTTCTACTCATTAAGAAACAAAGCTAAACAATATCAAAATCCTGTCTTTCTACTCATTAAGAAACAAATCTAAACAATATCAAAATCCTGTCTTTTTGTCAGGCTTTTGATATTGTTTAGCTTTGTTTCTTAATGAGTAGAAAGACAGAATTTTGATATTGTTTAGCTTTGTTTCTTAATGAGTAGAAAGGCAGGATTTTCATATTGTTTAGCTTTGTTTCTTAATGAGTAGAAATTTTGATATTGTTTAGCTTTGTTTCTTAATGAGTAGAAAGACAGGATTTTGTTTTCTCTTTCTCTTCATTAATAAACAATATTATAATCATTTCTTTCTATTGTCATACAAATGCCTATCTGATATAGCATTATGAAATTTTCTTGGAAAAAATTAGCAAAGTTTTATATTTTGTAATTATATCTTGCATAAAAATCTTAAACTTATTTTCAACTTTCTTTAAAAAATATCAAGTTTGTCGAGGGTTGAGAAGAACTGTTGTTTACGAGCAAATCTGATGGCTTTGAAGTCATGAAAGTGATTCCTCTTGGGAAATTAACATCTCTTTTGAAACAGGTAAATATTAGTTGGATAGAGTGATAGAGTTTCCATCCAATGTATGTATTTTTTTGGCGTAAGCGTGCAGCCCTCACACTTAGAATGGTGTCATCATCCACTCCAAAACACTTTATTTATTCATAGGAATAAATAATATGCTATGCTTTGGTATAAATAAACTGGTGGAGTTAACGAACCATAAATCTTGAATCTCGTCAACTGAAACCTAACATGCCACATAACCTAACTATTACTGGTACCTTTCTGCAGATAAAAGAGTAACCGAAGTTTGACTGGGACTATAAAAAATAAAGATGAAGG